GCGGGTAAATGCACTGATTGTGAACGACAGCCAGAAGGGAAACTTACCGGTAACTCTAAAGTGCCGCGCCGACGTCGGTGGTCAAATTGGCTGGCCTTATGGAGTCGATACAACTGGATGTAACGAAAGTAAAGACTTCATAGAAAATGTTATGATGTGCGGGGAGAAGAGGTGCCTAGAACTGAAAAAGTGTTTTTGTCTGTCTCTTCAAAACATAGATAAAAACAAAAACTTCATCTTGAAGCGTTTTCTCGGTGACACAGTAGACTGTACAAACTCGTTGCCGAATCCTTCTGAATTATTCCTTGATCTTTCAGAAATCGTCGGTCCCGATGACCCCAAAAGCCGTGAATTGGAAGTTTCCAAATTGAACCAGAGTGGTGGTGTTGATGGTGGTGGTGGTGGTGATGATGATCATGATGCCGACAGTGACTCGGACATTTCACGCCTTTTTTTGCCAGACGACTTTTATCAAGAGGATCTACGGGAGTTTGATGGCCTGTCAGAAGGCCATTCGTGTCAGCTTTCTGACATAGTTTTAGATTCGGATATCGGCCTTTGTCCCCCACCATGTCCACGTTCAAGGCCCCCTTGTCCACTCATACGCCAACCTTTGCATTTTGTTGTCGACGACACCTTCGATAGAATCACAAAGTTGAAAATGAAATTTGCCGAGGTGAAAGCCAAAATCCAACTAAGTAATCCGAAAACTTACTGCCCATCACACTACGGCATGATTCCTCGATGCAACGTCTGACAAGTCATTTAATGTGGAAAATAATAATGATTAGTATTACCAATAAACGTGTTTAAATTTTCTTGTGGATTCAAGTTGTCTCTCTTCATTGTTGTTATACCTGTGTTGCTGTTGCGTTCAGAGCATCCTCTTATCAAGACGGTCTTGACATTCTTTGACACGAAAAATAGACCGTCAAGGTAACCATTCTGTAAACCAACGGTTGGTTTTCTAGATACATGAAACTCGTCAAATCCTAGTTACCGAAAACGTATTTACTCGTTAACGTTGTCTTTTATGAATCCCTGTTCTATTCGCCATCATCTGGATACGATTTGTATTCACTGAGAATTATTCCCAGCCTAACACGTCGTATGACATCTATTAACAGATCAGATTCCAAACTCAGAACACCGTTCTTTTAAAGGGTGGTATTAAAGACTGAGTCGTCACAAACTCGAAATAAAACTGGGTAAACACAGAAGACCAAAAACTACAATTGATAGATGCAAGCTTTCTAGAGGAATCGATGAAATCCACTTTCTAACATCTCTTGTGTCATTTACAGTGAAGAAAAGGAGAAACTATACTTTGAATTCAGCAATAAATATTTAGATTTTAATAAAACACATTTGTTGCCATCATTAACCTTTTCACCACCAGTTCTTCCTTTTCATCACAAATTCACAAAACAGTCCCATTTAGATAGTATGCATTTTCCTTCAGAAATTGGAACAGAAATATACATTTTTTTTAAAGTAGTTGTATACAACACACGAAGCTCAAAACGTCTCTGACTTCAAACAATGGTTTATTTTTATGACGTTTCGGGGAGATGTAAAAACCCCTTTTATCAAACAACAAACTAAAATGGATAAAAAAACAAACAAATATCAGGTTTGCATAATGGACTGCTTTTGGGTTGCTTTTTGAAGTAAAAACTGAAAGTTTACTCAAATTGTGCCTGTTCATTTCCAGAAATATAGAAGAATATGAGAAACAAAATACAAACAAATTTGGGCCGCGAGAAAGTGAAAAGGTTAATACTAATTCAATACATTTACTCAGACATGTTATTACATATCCGAATTACAATAATGGATAGCTATACCTGTTTCCACCATACAAACACGAATTTTGTGTTCTCCTTGGCGTGGTAATCATCAATTTATTCTTTCAGGGCGTATGCTTCTTCTTGGAGATTTTATATTCATTTTTGTTCGCGCATCTAATGTGTAATTGGCCAAATATACACAGATAGAAATTCTCTAAAAAGGGGTGCTCTATTGTTAGTTTAAGGCAGGTTACTCTATTTTAGGGCCATGAATGGGTTATTGAAAAACAAATATACGCGTACTTTATATTCATTAGGAACAAAGAATACATATTTTGACAAATGTATTTGAAAAAAAAAACAAAACACGTAGCAATGTCTGAAAGGAAAACTAATACATATTCAAGTTTCGAGCCGTCTGGACGCTAAGTGCTTCGGTGTTTTGTGAAAATCGCGGAAACGAGTAAAATAAATCGTATTTTTCATTGATTTTACAACCGATCAAACAATACTGAGGCCATGAATTCGACTTTACATAATAGTTATTTTAATTTTACTGCTCGTGATACGATGATACACAGTGGGAAAGTTTACATCATTTTACAGAACCGCACCACCGTATAATATTATGGCCGCCCATGACCATTTCCTGCTTCAGATGCAGACACCACTATTCGTCGAAAAAACATTTCCAAGGTCATCATATTCTACCCTATTTGCCCCGTCTGTTTCTCCGTACTGCGTAAGAGTGACGTGAATAAATAATTTGATCATTAAAAATGTGACCAATCAACTGTCCAAATCGTGGAGCAAATCGTATAACAAATGTCCTGGGCCTATTTTTCGGCAACGAAACGGAGAAAAAAAGACGGAGGGAGCTGGGGTAACCATATTCTTTAGAGCGGTTGGACATTTTGCAATAATTTATTGAGATTACTTTTAATGTTTTGCGGAGATAAAGGGAACTGGTTATATTATATTAAGATATGTAAATTTTAACAAGGGTGGAATTTTCCGGAAAA